CGTTTACAAGGACGGACATCACAGCATGATGTGGCAAGGCACTTTAGCGTGTCCAGACAGACCATCTCAAACCTATGGACCCAATACAACAATACTGGTAGTGTTAATGACAGACCCAGGTCAGGTTGACCGGAGTTACCACCACCACCCAGGATCGTTACACCCGGTTGAGACAGTTTCGTTCAAACACCAAGGCCGCATCATCCACAGCAATCCAAATCCCTGGACTGCTCCAAATCTCCGACCAGACAGTGCGCAACTGGCTATCGAAAGCCAGACTTTTTGCCAGAAGACCAGTTCAACGTCACATCGTTCCCTACATCAACGTGATCTTTGGAACTTGACAATGCTAGACATCACGTTGCACGTGTTTGACAGGTCGTCCTCCAGCAAAACAATGTTCAGTTGTTACCGTGGCCTTCTCAATCACGGGATTTGTCCCCATTGAACATCTATGGGATACACTTGATCGAAGCTTGCGCCAGCGTAATCCGCCACCTCAGACACTACAAGAACTGCGCACTGCACTTCAGCAAGTGTATCAAAACATTCCTCAAGACAGCATTCGGCATGTCCTTTCTTCTGTGGGTCGCCGCTGCGAAGCTGTTATCGTTGCTTATGGTGGTCACTCCAGATACTGAAATTTTACTCTGACCAAGTGGCTATAATAGCCCTCTGTGGTTTTACCAAACACTTTCTGGATAATCATGCTTTGCAAATGTGTAAAGTGATGATTTTACTGTAACTGAGCAATGATGTCATGTTTGAATCAGTTATATGCACTCAGTAAGTAAACTTAAATAAAGTTATTTTATGTGTGTTTTTCCTTGCATATCAGAGAGAACAGTTTGAGTTGAATTGGAAACAATCAGGACAGGTGAACATTTTCACAGCCATGGTATCTAAACACGGATATCCTGAACAGTCAATAATATTGCAAGCTTCGCCTTTCCACACTGGGGATATATGGTGACATGTGTTAAATGTTTCGATATTAGAACAACTACCCCATGTCGGAGCGTTTTTACTCACGAGATGTCATTCCTTGGTATTTAAAGAGTGGGTGAGTGAGTGAGTATGGTTTAATGCTGCTTTTAGCAATATTCCAGCAATCTCACGGCGGGGAACACCAGAAATGGGCTTCACCCATGTAGGGAATCAAACCCAGGTCTCCAGTGTGACGAGCGGACACTTAACCAACAGGATACCCATCCACCGCCGGGCATTAAATAAATTACGTTTATGTAATTCGATACAGAATTTAAATCAACTAAATAACAGTAATTAGGCATAGGCATTAAGCATTGAACACATACGCGATAAATGTTGTAAATTACCGGAATATGTCTAATCCAAATACCTCCATGACGAGATATAATACCAGCTTACAAGTGGAGGTAACGCATCATAATAATGAAGATAATATGAATACAGTAAACAGTATGATCAGCGACCGAATGATACTTGTCATGTCTTAATCAACCCACTAGGTAGTTGCTCACAGCTACAAAAGAGTTTATTCACAGTGCATTGATTCGAATATGTGTTTTGGAAAGTTTGATTCAAGGCAGTTTGATGTTTGTGGTGAGGAATTCCATACAATATGCGCCCAGTTGGAAACGGTTCTGGATCCAAAACATGTCAGTTTGAAAGTTGTAATACAGAGTCTGTTTTCAGACATATTGAAATCTCGGTGTTTATTAAGTCCATGAAGCAGCCAAATGTTCTTCCATTGTTACATCGCGGCCATACAGAGCACCTTGAATTAGACAATTGCCGTACCTGCCTCTCACAAAGAAATAGAACAGTGGTGTTAAATCAACAAATCATTATTTTGGGAATAGCCCTTCAGCTCATGTACATGTTTGCGATTGTAAAATGATCCGAACACAATTACAACCATAGTATACAATATATGATGTAACCAATACCCACCAATACTTTACGTCGGTTTTCTATTCAAACTCTTCATTAGGCAATGTGATTTTGTATGGAAACTGGATAAATTCCTCAGCTTCAGATACAAAATCAGATCCTGATTTTATTAAGTCTCCGAGCTTGTGTGAAAAAACACACCATGCTACAATGTTTGTGACAGACGTCCTCTTTTTCTCAAAAGTCAAAAGCAAATGTTACCTTTTTCAACCATATTCTAGAAAAATTAAAGTTTGTAATAACATGGTCGGTCCCTTCGGATAACCCAGCGATTCCTTTGAACAATTACAACCGCTGTAGACAAAGACGTTTGTGGGTAAAGTAGCCAAGCGTCTGACTTGTCGATACGTCCCCTGGGTCGCAATTAGACCTTACACCACGTACATTCAGACTAACAGTCTCTTAGACATCTTTTGAAACCAAGCATTAATCTAATATCAAATTATTTTCCGTTCAAACGTCTACGCACCTTTTGTAATCATAGAATGTACGCTATTAGGAACACTGTTCAAGGGATCATTGTGACGCCAATCATGGCTGTGGGAATTTGAATTTCAACATGAACATTTGTACAAACTTAACAGAGTCCCTTAGCACCCAACAAAAAATGTTGCATTTTGTTCTTGTTGTCACAAGTATATTTCCTGGTCGAACTGGGTATTAGATTGAGAAGACCTTTTCAGCTACATAATGGATTATGTGTACTCAGGGCTGATATTGAAATCCCGGGGGAGTCATGCAACTCTTCGTCCGCATTTCAATCACAGTCTGTCTGCTTCAGCCCATGTACTACCAGATTTATCACCAGTAAGCGCGTGCAATATACATGTAAACTCCAACTACATGACATTTTATCGCATCTTTTTGGCTTCGGAGCCCTCAGTTAGGGAACCAGGCAGAAAAAGACACTAAGCACATAATGCTTCCACTGTCTCGTGAATCTAGTGGTCATTGCGCACGCCTAGTAAAGCGTGTGTTATCAAGATTCAAGAAAGCATGTATATAGCTGGGCCACCTCTGCTCTAAGACCATCGTAAGATCCAAAGTTCAACATCTTTAGCATAAATGTTGCTTGATGCATGTATGCCTTGCACCCTGTTGTCCATCTTAGAAGTATTTCTACAAAGAGGGTATTGGCTTTATTATGACACACGTGTCAGTACGTACGAACAAAGGCCGTGTCTATAACCATAAGATTCCAGGGTGCGATTCCGACTATATCATTTGCGTGTGTTTATTCTTCGCTATCAGTGATGGTATAAGATGTTCGTGAAAATATGATCGTTTCCTGACCCACCGGTGGCACATCCCACAAAAACATGTAACGCTCTTAGAAATCTGGATAAAAACATAGTCATAGCCTTGTGGATACAATTGTGTCACTCTGAATCGTTATGCACAGATCTAATTATGAAACAGATGTGATACTTTCATTCGCTTCTTTTATTACACAGTTCTCTGGTGTAATTTTGACTAGAGCAATTTGACCCTCACAAACAAACAGCGTGTTCCGTCAAATGTCTTCTTTAGATGCAGAGAATAATAATGGCTCTATCTACTGTTGTCAAGCAGAGACTGTGAGGGGTTGGCCAATATCAATCCACTCTTTTTATGTAGACAGCAACTGTGCATTTTAACATATCTGCATCAGATCTGATGCATTATGAGATCTCTGTCTATGAATATATAGTGAAAACGGAAGGTAACATCTCGAAAATACAAAGCCACAATGTTGTAAATTAGTGATGACAACATTTGCTCGTGAAACCCATCATGCTCAGAAGGAGAGTCACACAGAGCGACACAAACACATTGTGGGGGTTATGTTGGCTCAGATCCTAAGAGGCGGTGTGCTAGCCTAGTGGTTTATACTTTGGCCTAAACGTCATACATCTGGTTCGATTCCCCTGATGTCTACAACCTGTTCTTGATGTCGCCAATGTAATGCCGCTGAAATTATTGAAATAACTACGGACAACCCAAATCACTTGATAGCTCAGATATCAGAAGATGTATTTGTGAGTACACGGTGTAATGTAATAAGTTAATAAGGTTAACTTTTGAATCTCTGAACTTCTACACAACAGTCGTACTTCAAAATTAACCACGGGTGTTTTGGGTTCATCGTTCACTTTTTTGCCTGGTTGTTTTCAGGGGACCGTGGCAAGGCCATTTTTAGGCAAATTCTTGCGATGGGCATGTGTTCTCCTACCGCGAACACCTGCTTTTGTCACTGAATTTAAAAGGTCCATTCATGTAATTTTCACAGCTCCTTTAGACTTTACACCCAATGGAACCTGTTTCTGAGGGTAGTAAAGAGCGAGTATTCTTTTGCATTTACCATATTTATTTTATGAAATTTACAATCGGGACAATCGCGACACATATCTCTCAATCTTAGTATGGTTGATGGCTACCGAATGCGTGCACACTGATCAGTTTCCTTTCAAATATTGGTCTCCCGAAGTTTAATCACCTTATAAACGTAAACTTGGTACCATGGTGTTTGCAGTTTTCTTAAAAGGTGATCGCTCGTTTGTAATATCACTCGATAATGAAGAAATGATGTTGTCCCCTGTGTTGTTCATATGGCACCTTAATACTCATGCGCTCCATAATATCGCGCTTATGAAGCGTTAATGGTATTACAGCCCTATTTTACCGCATATTTATCGGAATCGATATGGCTCATACAACCCCCGTGTCACGAGGTTATTACAGCAGTCTGGTCACACGTACACACGTTTCCATGTATAAAAGTGTCGAAGACAAGCAGCCATGAGACTTTAATAGAACGAAACATCAAACAATATGGCCAATACACATTCGCAGTAGCTCACAGTTTTCTACATCGTTAAATGATTTTTCGTACATGTGTTTCACCCTCAACACATATTGTTTGATACTATGGTTAGATTGTTTATCTTTTTAAATGACTATTTTATATTTGTAGGTCTCGTTACAATAATCCTAGATAGAAGGAATTCACTCAGAACTCCCTTAGGGTGTCACCAAATTATAGTTATTAAAATATGTATTAAAAATGAAAACATTTCTATTTATAGGTACATTGCCATCGTGTTTCCGATCAAGGCCCACATCGTGTGCACCAAGCGGCGCATTTTCGTCGTCATCATCATTGTGTGGTTCTTCTCCCTGGTGTGCGGCACCCCAACAGCATTGTTCAACTCCGTTCACCTAGTTGCTCCAGGGAAATATTTTTGCTACACCCACTTCCCTGGCAACAACAGCATTGAATACTTGAAAGCTTACAAATACACAGAGTCAGCACTTTTCTATTTCGGACCGCTAACCATCCAATTAGTATGTTACATCGTCATAGGCAAGAGGTTATTTGTTGGCGTCGAGAAACTTCACCGAAATGTGAACAGAAATCGAAATGAACGAGGTGGTGGACGCACGTCCGAAGCAATCAAAGCGAGAAAAGGCGTCGTTAAAATGCTAATTGCTAGTGTGGTAATATACTTCCTTAGCTATTCCCCCTCATCAAGTATTAATGTTCTATAACACTTTCTCTTCGCAGCGTTTTGAGGAGTCCTGGGTGTATGTTGTGTTCGTTACCACCCTAGGGTACATCAACTCGGCCGCCAATCCTCTCCTGTACTGTGTTTTCAGCGAGAACTTCAGAAAGAAGTTCCAATATTTACTTCATTGTTGTGGATGCTGTCACGAAGACTACGAACGCCAAAGAACAATAAGTATGACATCCTACACGGAATACACAACCCTGTTCAAGAAGTCTACCCGGCGGCCAAACAACCTGAGCTCAGTCTAAATCTAATTCATCATACGCTAATATTCATTCTAAGCTTAATGATGTGTACTTGTATACTGGGCACAGTTTTTGCTTTCATTGCGACTGATGTGTTGTGTGCATGTGTGTAACATTTGCAATGTGCAAACGATGATTTTATCTTCGCTGAAACGTTTCTTGTCTTTTGTTGAGATACAGTGGTAATATACTCAGTAGACAAAATACGTTGTCCTAATACCCACCACGGATGTTGAACAGTCGATACATGGAGGATATAACAGAAGTATACATATAAGTATAAGTATATGTGTCTGTTATTTGTTATACAATCATACAGCAAGCTACAGTTATAACCAACTCAAACGGACCACTTATATTTTCTTCCGAAAATACCGTAGTTGTTATAGGCATATCGACTAAAGTATACAGTTTATATCGGTCTGTTCGACATAAGCATGTTCGTTTCTTACTTTACTGTATTCTTCCAGGCATACAATAAATGTCCCTTTCCGATTTGGTAGATACATAAACTAAGGGTCAGTTAATACAGTAAAGAGTGCGTTGAGTTTAACGCCGATTTCAACAGTATTCCAGTATATAAAGACGTGACGCAAGTCTCAGACATTTACCATTTTGGTGGACCAACGGGCACTTGTATGGAGCTGGCAAACCTAGAAGCATAATAGGGGGGGGGGGGGATTCGAACACACAATCATAGGCCCTGGCGCGCCAGTGGGATATAACGTCGAATTGTGATACGTTAGGCGAATGTCCACCGTGACCAGTGCACATAACCTTAAATTTCTCTGCATTAAAATATTATTTAACGACATTACTTGCCGTATATCTATACAGTATTTAGAAGGGACAAGCACCTTATAATTATGATCGTTTCTAACCATTAGAAAAACCTAAAAAGAAAGTGTTTTTAAGAATTTCTCTGTCGGACAGAGCAACAACTACCAACATTAGATGTATATTTCTATCGTCTATACTGAGTCAGCATACATACATACTCAGAGCAAAGGCATGATGAAGAGCATTATCCCGGTGGAAGGATCACTATAAAATTACAGTGCATTCCTAGCTCTAAAGAAACAGACATATACTCAGAACCAAAGGTATACTGAGGGGCTTTATCCTGGTCGAGGGTTAGTGCTAGCCTTCACGTCCCTGAGTTGTTGAGCAAAGTCACTTCTGAAGCCGACTCTAGAAGCTCAATGACTGATGTTCCAATGTGTGACAGGACAAGTGCTCCACATATTCTCAGGAGTTAAAACTGCTATCAACCAACAAGCTGCGTGGGCGGCAGTGATGCTTAACTTAATCTGCCTCATCACCTCTGATATATAACTACGCATGCTCATGCACTTAACAAAAAGTATGACGTTCCATAATAAGTAAGTCAATGGTGGGTAAGCCTGGTGATTATAGTCTTTACTCGCCAGATGGGTAACATGAGAAAATCCAGCAATGCTGGCCTTGGAATGTGTCATTAATGGTGTAAAACCATACTCAACAGAGCGTTAAAACTTATAACACTTACTAATACTGTAATACTATAATCGTGATTACAGTTATTATTGAACTGTTGGACAGTAGCAGCTTAACGCTGCTTTGATTCTGCAGTATTTTTGTTGTACCACTGTTATGCAACGGCCTGTCAGCTCGAGTTTGGAGGACCATCCAAAGTGATGAATGGCTTAAATTAAAATTACTTTTTGGGGGGAAAACCAAAGTGAACGGGACAAACCATTAAACATAATCAAATTGAATATGGGATTCGAACCCCAAATCATGGGGTTTTAAAAGTGAAAGCAACTCAGCAAAAGAATAGCGCGATTTAGATGAGCGAGTTACCCTAACGCCGTACACAGCAACGACAAGTAGACTAGTATTACCTGTAAACACCACGGCAATATGTTACCTTGAGACACTGGGATGTATTCAGGAAGCATTAAGGTTAACTATCATAATGTCTTATATGATAGTTTCAATAACTATGACCGAGTCACTACCCTTTCAATTTCCACTCTAACTGCCTCGTCTTATAAACCTAACATATGACTACATGTAACACCAACTTGAAAGCACACATATCAGATCGGCTCGCACCATCGACAAGAAAAAGAAGAACAAAAAAACGAAACATAACCCAATGTGTAAAGCCAGGTTTTCTTCAGAAACGACAATTTCGGGATGGAAAGATTATATTCATATAAATTCATTCCTATATTTTTTTTACTGCAAACTGACTTTGTTACGGCAGATAATCGACACCGATTATTCTCTAGCGTTAACGTTTGGTGTATAGCTGTTAACCTGGAGGTGAACGGTGGCAGACAGATGTGATCATGCCACACCGGCAGACAGATGTGATCATGCCACACCGGCAGACAGATGTGATCATGCCACACCGTAGAGGTATCGGTTATCAAATAACGCCCAGTGTTAACATTAGGAACATTGGTAAGTATTCCTTTCCCGTTTCGTTTGATTATACCAATGAACATCCTGATTACATCTCGCATTGACCCTAATGATGGGATTGGATCATCACATACACATTGTTTGGTGGCAGTTATTGTAAGGAAACAGATGGGTTAAACTATCTTCTTCAAATATTGATGACACCAGGTGTCCTCGAATTAGTGGGCCTGTCTCACGGGTGTCACTCGTCACAAACACATGCAAATTAAAAGAAAGGCAATTGTTCACCTGAAAAACAAACCAGAACAAAACCAGGTACATATGGTAAAGTCAAAATATGGAGACATGAATTTTGTCACTGGTGCGTCTGTTTTGGAAATGACTTTCATACTTCTGCCACAGAACCCCTACGTTTTAGAATTAAAATGTTATCCGTGTGACAACGTCACTTACTTTTAGATGGAACCGCCACTGAGTAAGAGTTGCAATTATGTCAAAAAAAAGATGTTTCAGCATTCCATCTTGAGGCAATAAATTGAAGCATAAGGGAAAAAAAAGTAGAATATGGCCTAAGTGCAACTTACTTAATGGAGACAGCTGCAGATGGGACCACAATTCAGGTTGTAAGTAGTGTGTTGTTAATAATTTACACACCTTTTTATGTTGTCATATCTTTTTTGTGTTGCCTACGCATAGAAACACAAATGATTCTAGTAAAATTCCAATTTTGCTTAATGTCATGACCTATATTTATCATGTTGGTTAATAACAGCTCATTCACAGTTCAAAATTTTCACTACTGTCAGGTTTGTTTTAAATGGGACATAACGTATGGTTTGATATACATCAACGTTTTATTTCCTTCGACCAAAGGATTACACTTGTAAGGTGTTAAACATATCTGTGATAATTGAAGTTATATACTACACTTACGTGTACGAGTTAATCATTGTAAAACATGTATGAAGAAGCATGTTACGGAGTGGTGATCATGTGTGTCAACCAGCCGCTGTCAGTTGTAACATTTGACATGATTCACTACACATTGACAAGATTTCTTATTTACAAAATAGCTACAGCTCCCTTTCACTTCCCTATCCACTGAGTCCAGACGAGCCGGTAATCCTTTCTTTGCGTTGTATAAACGTTTTATCCAAAGGAATTACAGGTGGAGTCTTAAGTCGCCGATCGGTAGCTGCAGGACTGATGAAACATAGGTCTGCTAGCTTCCAGACTCGCCAGCTGTGATGATCTCTGTAACAGCTGGTACTGAGTGTTCCCAAGTGAAGATGCACGCCTCCGTTTCTAGCTGCATATAATTCAAAAGTCAAATTCCTGGGTAATGCTTATTTGAGTAGAAGAGCGAAATAGTCAAACATGGTTTTAATTGAAATAGAGCTCTCTGAACCAATCGAAAATACACAGATGTTTCTTAACCTCGGAAAGGTTCCAGTTGACACCCGACAGGGAAGAACCATCATCTTGCAATGAATAATGAATATCCCGAAAACTCTGTTAGTAGTTTTAACCGAGCTATGTCACTTCTGTTTCCGTATCCATACATTTTGTAAGATTTATAATGAACGTAACGTAAAATAAGATTTAATCTAACAAATGTATTCCCCAAAGTAAAATAATTCCTGATTGAATTTAACGATTGCTGTAAGTTATATGGTTGTGACTGGACATTATTCCCATGTTCTCTATATATATTGCCCTGAAATCTCTTGAACTTTGGTGGAAGTTCCATTAATGTTGTTAATAATGGCATTCAACATGTTTCACAGATATTTGTAGATCCACGGCTTAGATTGAAGGTACTGAAACTCAGCGCCGCATATGAAAATATATGATGTTCTATAAAACTGTTTTATCAATGTTTGTATCAATATTAAAACAATTGTGAGTGACAGTTTTGGGTGATATCTTTGCGTGTCATTTTGGAGAAAGGCCAACGTGCTCTGGGTCGTTGACGTTATCCATACTGATGAAAGAAGGACTATACTGCTGACAGAACCTATGTCCCATGGATATACATATGCCTGGAAATATATTTCAGCCTTTAATTTGTACTCATACTTGTTAATCAAGTTCTTAGATAAAAAGTATTTCCTGTTTAATTTCTTGGCAACAGTGTATGTTCCTTGAACACATCGCCTTCCTTGAGTTCTAGTGATTTTGTAGGCAAGCGTTAATACTTATCCTGCGACTTCCATTTTATGACTGCAATGAAACTTTCTATGGCGCTTTAGAATCTTGTAGAGATTTGAATTTACCAGGTCGAAGAGTCGTAGCATACGTGTATATCAAACATACAACATACAATCAAACTAGCTAGCTGCCTCCATGAATATGGAGGACATTTCCAAACCTGACGCATAAAGAACCAAAAGGATATCCGATGCAGTTCCCTGTTTTGACATGGTCCCTCGTTGCTAATCAAACATATCGATCCCATTACAAGTTGTAATAAGCTCATGGTACTTAAATTATAGCACTCAGGTCAAAGCGGATGACCCCTCGATCACTATGAGGGCGCGACGGAGTAGGTGATAATCAGAACAGGAGACTACCATTAAAAACACATGTCCGCACGATACGATCGGGAAGGTGGTGCATCATTACCGCGATCAATGGGTCATTTGTCTTGAGGAGTACCGTTAATGTCCAATGTTTACTTTTCCGCTTTGAACGAACGAATACTCCAAAACGATGTTTATTGCATAAACGGGCATTGGCCCAGATGTAAACATATG